ACAGCGCAAAATAATGGTTTTATAGTACACAGGTCTAATACCTGCACTTCTATATCAGAAAGCGAAGACGAAGAAGTTCACTGAAAATCTGAAACGTACCAACAAGCATGCGATACTTATGAGGGTGACGAGCATCCTCAACGATAGGTACAATATTAGGCCTCTTCTTAGCAACGTTAAGGAGATCACGACCAGATCGATGAGAAAATTCAACTGCATAAACAATACCATCCTGAAAGCAGACGTTAATGCGTAAAAAAAATATTGCGTATCTTGAAACACTCACTGCTCCCACTATATCCGAGCAATGAGAAACTGTGGTTCCGGAAGCAGCACCAAGGTACAAAAGTTTCGTTCCTGGCTTAATGTGTACGTTCTCCAAACCAGCCATCATTGCAGCAGCCAACTTTGATCGGAACGGATTCCATACGCGATACTCAATTGAGGTCCCAGATCCATCATCCACAGAGACTCGCTTCTCGCCATAAACTGACTCTCCAACAACCATGTTCTTTGTGGCAAGAGCATCTTCTTTACCCTTGACGATGAAAACACCTAGAATAAGAAGCTCAGGCTCAAGGAATCGCTAATTTTTCCATAGATATCATACCCTCATATCGATGTGGCTCAACAACAACAGTCTTTCCTCCTCTCATGCCACCTCCTCCTCGTCCTCCACGCGGTGAACCGCGGCCACCGCGTGGACTACCGCGACCACCGCGAGGCGATCCTCTGAAGCTAAAACGAATGGGTATTGGATATATTATGAATGGTAAAACCATCTAAAATGTGCGAGTAAGAAGAGCGAATTACCCGCCGCGATCCCCGCCACCAAATCCTCCTCGTCCTCCTCTAAATCCACCTCTATCTCCACCGCGACTACCACGGAATCCTCCACGATCTCCACCACCTCCTCTGCCACGAAAGCTTCCACCTTTATAATCACCTCCTCTGAATCCGCCACTGCCGCGAAATCCTGAATCAAGTGCAATAATCAGAAAAATATTTTCTTGGATGCGATGATTTTGCAAGGAACTCAATGGCTTTTAGTCGAAAACACTTAAGAAACTGACTATCTAAAACAGAAACTGCTAGTTCGTTGATAAGAGATAAGTAATTCATGAATTCACAGTCTGAATAAACCTCGAGTGTTTACATCCCGTAATAATGTTTTTTTTTTCTGAAGACAAACAAAAATGATGTATTGTTGGCAGTAGCGCAAACAATTAACCAGCGCTAGTGTTCCTGATGCGAACTGCTCGACGAGCTTGACAAGAAAAGCGCATCAAGAGCTTTTCTCCGTAGCAAAACCAGCATACTTTGCTGCCCTCCCTTCTAATGACACTCATATTTCGATCACAGAAAAACAGACCACTTGTTTCAGCATACTAACAGGTGCAGACAACATGGCCAGTAATTTTCCTAGGTTGTGCACCAAATCCTACGCACCACGATATTTACCCTCAATTTATGGTTCGCTGAAATTATAATCAAGGGGATTAATGAAGCGCCAAAATATACGTAAATGGCTGCGCGGTCGCGCAGTAAAACAATTCCTGCGCGGCCTCTGCCGCTGAAAGCGTGACTTATCAGCAATTTCCATATGAAGGAACTGATTTTAGAGCATATGTAAGAAGAGGAATGATTAGCAATAAATCTTTATTGCAGTATTCTGCATCCATCAATAATT